AAAGTTTGAGCAAAACATGCTAACTGTTCTCTCTTTGGCTGCACAGACGAGCACAGAACACTGTTTATAGTCCCAGCCTCAGAGGAGACAACAGAGCAGTGGATTTATTGATTTATTTACTGTATATTGTTGCTGCCACACAGATCTAAAATAAACATGCGATTTATTTCCCAGCAGTTTACCTTCACAGACATAACCGACTGTTTTTGTAACTTGTGTGTGTTTTTAATGTAAACTTGTGTGTAAATGAGAACTTAGTTTAGTACTCACATGTTGTGACGGCCGCTTTCTGTCCGTGTGCTTCAGATGTGTGCACTCAGAAAACCGAAGTTTGAACTAATATGGTTAAAAACTTATGATTTCAGCGCGATAAACATGATAATCAGAACTCTGTTCTGTTCTCTGAAATCTGTTCTGGAAAAGGGGGCGGGGAGCAGCAGCTCATTTGCATTTAAAGAGACAGGCACGAAAAACAGCGTGTTTCTGCTTCCACTCAAAATAGGCATTTTCAAAATGTTATAATAAATGATCTGTGGGGTATTTTGAGCTGAAACTTCACAGACACATTCTGGGGACACCAGAGACTTATATTACATATTTTAAAAAGGGGCATAATATGTCTCCTTTAAGTAATTGCGGCCCTGTTTACTGAAGATATATTCTGTACAAAATAAATTTTTTTAACAAATGTGGTCAAACTCTTAATTATCATATTCAGAGTCACAACGGCCCAGACTTGACCAAACTCCTTCAAATTCTCCCAATAAGTCCAGCATTTAGTGAAAAATCATTTTGCAGTTTCACAAATACATTGTTTTTATCAGCTTTCTGATAAGACTATCATAGATTTGTTCACTAACAGCTGGCAGAATGATTACAACAATTTTTAGACTGATCTATAAACAAAATCAATCAATCAGTGTTATTTAAGTGTCAAATTTCTTTTTCTCTCAGTATACCTCCACCCTGACTTTATTTACTTAATATGTTATACTGTTCATCACAAGTAAGCTTTCAGGATTAATTGTATCATTGCTTACAGTGACATCTGTAAATGCTGGGTCACTTCACTTGAAACGATAAAAGATGATATTTCAAGTAATTGCAGCCCTGTTTTCTGAGGACATTTGCTGTACAAAATAAAATTATTTTGTAACAAATGTGGCCAAGCCCTTAAATGTGGCATATTTATAGCCACAAAGGCTCATCCTTCAAATTCTAATTAGTCCAGCATATAGTGCAAAATCAATTTAAACAATTTCACAAATGTAGTGTTATTTCAGCTTTCTGATAATCGCAATGGTGTTTTTACATACAGTAGATCTCATTAACAGTCTGTCCTATAATGACAACAAAAGTATTTTTAAAAATAAAAATGTAAAATTTTTATTTTTTAGCCTTCATGAAGGCCTTTGTGCTGAAAAGCGTTGGCAAAATAAATATATATTTTTTTACAATTCCATTCTCTGAATAGTTTGACTTCTCCACTACACAAGTGTACTTGTGACTTCTTCCATTCACCTTGTTGATTATGTGAAGCTGCACCAGAATACAACATATCTATAATGATAACAATGCATGTCATAAATCGCCACATTATAAAACATTGTATTGTCTAATTAATTTATCATTTCTAATTGATTAGATCTACCCGCTTCATTGATTTTGAAACTTTGTGTTTTCTGTTTGCAGTAAATGTGATTAATGTGAATTAAAAACCTTTTCACACAGCCAGTGTCTCATAAGTTGAGTGATTTTTAAATATTAACATTTTGTTTTCCTTTCACATTTTTCTAAGGAACCTTAGCTTACCAAAGAGGAGAATGAAGATACATTGTGACAAACTGAAATTGATCTGTTGTAACAAGAGTTCCAGTACAAAACAAGGTCACATACAAATAAATATGTATTGATGAGAGTCACAAGGTATTTGATGTACTTTCTAAAAATCAAGAGATTACTATAGTGTAATTTGTTTCTCTTCTTGTTGAATACCCATAATTCTTTTCGAATAAGCTATCATATTGATTGCAGCACTAAAATGAGAATAGTTGAGACAAATTTATGACACTAAAAAGGATGACATTTCATTTGAATGTTTTAGGACAGTGAGGTTGACAGTAGTGTATGCAGTTGTATACACTTCTTTTCAAAAGTTTGGGTTCAGTAAGATTTTTTTTTTTTTTTGAAGGAAATTAAAACTTTTATTCAGCAAGGCACATTAAATTAATCAAAAGGGACATTAAAGACATTTATAATGGTACAAAAGATTTCTATTTTTAAATTAATGCTGTTCTTTTGAAATTTCTATTAATCAAAGTCCTGAAAAAAATGTATGACGATTTCTGAAGAATCATGTAACACTGAAGACTGGAGTAATGGCTGCTGAAAAGTCAGTTTTGCCACCACAGGAATAAATTACATTTTTTAATTATTTAAAATAACAAATTTTAAATTGAAATAACATTTCAATATTTGTAATCATATTGGTGTTTTTACTGTATTTCGATCAAATAAATGCAGCCTTGGCAAGCATAAGAGACTTCTTTCAAAAACATTAAAATCTTACAAACCCCAAACTTCTGAACGGTAGTGTACATTATAAACATAATGAGTTTTGAATGAAGCAGTGTAAATGTAACTATTGGGCAAAGCACATCTGTTCATTTCCCTGACCCGCCAATCAGATATCAGCTGAGAGAGACGCATATTAAAATAACAAATAAGTATCAAATACAAAACAAGTTTCTTTTGTAGCAAACACATTAAAATATTTGGAGCATTTGACTAGTAACTAGCATTTTAAATTCACAACATTTTAAATTTCACCTTTAAAATCACCATAAATCCTGTATTTCGGCAGTAGAGCAGTGTTCTTTTGGTCAGTTCTATGTCCATTAATGCTATAAAAGAGCTTGTATTTGTGGCAATCGATCTGACTGATGAGAGCTTCGGATCAGGGACACATAAAACTCTTATTATAACACTTTTTAACTCCTGGAGGCAGTTTCATGTTTCTTGACAGCAATGGAATTTTTCTACTGCTTTAGGAATCTCCCGTGTACCTGGTTGTGAGTCAGTTTAAGCAAGAGCTCCCTCTAGGGCAGCGGATGATCACTCTCACAGCAGCCAGAATCACAGCACTGCAGATCAGAGAGACTCCACTGAGAAAGAACGTAGCTGTGTAGGAGCCTGTCTGATCCACTAGCCAACCTGAGAGAGAGATTTCATACAACTCATTTAGTTCTTTTTTTTAAATGTAGTTTAAATATCACTTAGTTAAATAGAGAGTGGAAAATTTGCTCTGACCTCCAATAGGTGGGCTGATGAGGTAGGGGATGGCGTGAAGAAAGTAAACAACTCCCAGAGCTGAGGTCAGGTGGGTGGAGCTGACAGTGTCAGAGGTCACCACAGGAATAAGTGCCACGTAAGCTCCATCAAAGTAGCCATAGACGAGAGAAAAGGGGACGAGCAGGGAAAAAACATTCAGCAGAGGCAGAAAGAGACAACTCAGCCCTTCTGACCCCACAGCCAGCATGTAACTCACCACCCTATATGGCCTCAAACACCTAAACACAAATACACATAGATACAGATCAAACCACAACGTTAAAGATGGGAATCATAAAGAATTACAGTAGCAGTGCCGTTGAATAAGTAGTGCAGGGAACTCTAGCATTGTAGAATGGTGTTCTGGTATTTTTGTAATAAATACAGCCACCGGGACTGCATCCAAAATTGCATATTTCTCTACTATACAGCAGGTGAAAAGACACCAATATATTAATGATTCAGAAATTACTGTGTAGCCAAGTAAGATTTAATTATGGAGATAACAGAGCACATTGTGAGTGTGTATTAGCACTGTTTGTTGTTTGCTTTTGGTATCTGATCAAGCGTTTGGGCCCTGAAAAGGTGAAGCGTGACATCAGACTTGAGCGGATAGGGTTGATTCCCAATCGTATTGAATGTTTAGAATTAGTCTACATTAGAAGACTTGAATATGAATTTAAAACAGATTGCAATATCACATTTTTTATGCCTACCTCCACAGGTTTTATGAAGTTAACAGACATAGTGTAGATGTAGCTCTTAAATGTCTGTAATATTGCAATTTATCAGAAAATTTGAAAAAGAAAAAAATGATCACAACAAACTCTTACTTACTTTCTATCTGCAATCCATCCAAAAGTGGTTGTACCGACAATCCCTGACACTCCAAGTATGGACATGAGTAATGCTGCCTGTTGAGGGCTGACGCCTGAACTCAGGGAATATGGCACAAGATACACAAATGGCACACTGCAACCATATGCAAGGAACAGGAAGGACACCAACAGTAACAAGAAGTCTGGTATCAACAGGAAGGAATATTCTCTCAATACTGTTTTCCTTACATTGTCCCTGGACACCTTCAGTAATTTTGTGTTTGCCACTTTTAACTGTGCCAACGAATTGTGGTTAGTGTTTGCTTTGGATTTTGATTCTGGGATAGTTGTGTCCTCCTGGTTGGTGGGCAAACAGTCCAAAGGCAAGTCACCTAATTGTATTAAAGCTGAGATTGAGATGTCTGTGTCTGAGCACTTTGGCTTTGATTCTTTGTCCCATTCATCTGTGCTTCTGTTCACAGTCTCTGAGTCTTCTGAGAGATCCTGTCTATAGTTTATTTCCACATCGGAGTGTGTTTGCTTTGCATCAGAGGGCTTTGACTCGTCTATGTCTATCTGTACTGTTAGATCACTCTGCATATTCTCAGCATGTTCATTTTTCCCTCGCTTGTCTGTGTTCATCTGTTTTACTTCCACTGATCTCTGTTTCTGCGCACTCACTTCCATATTGTGCCTTGCATCAGCAAGTTTCACATTTAGGAAATCAACCTTTTTGCCACTCTCCAAGTCCATCTCTTTCTGTCTCCCTCTTTTGCCTTCCAAAGGCCTCATAAGGGCTCCACAGACACACAGGTGGGACACCAAACCCCCCAGAATGAGCAGCGCACCCCTCCAGGAGAAGAACTCAATGAGGAGTTGGACAGAGGGTGCCAGTATGAAAGTTCCGATGCTGCTGCCTGACATGGCGATCCCGTAAGCCAGCGCTTTTCTCTCGCTGAAGTAAGAACCCACCATAGCAATTGCAGGAGTGTAGCTGAGGGCAAATCCCACACCTGCGTGGAAAAACATGGTTTGTATTCAAGACTACGGATATGTCTGCTTAGTTTGTTGCAAACTGATATAATGGTTGCAGGGCAGCGTGACTACATTAGCTTTCCCGAATTATGATTATCAGTGTAGTTGAATGCTAGTTGTGTATGCAAGTCTGCATCAAACCTGTAAGAACACCAAGTGTAAGATACAGGAACTCCACGCTGGCGGCCAGTGAGCTGAGCAGTAGGCCGGCAGAGGAAAGAAGCCCACCAATCATGATAGCTATACGAGAAGAGAGGCGGTTCCCTATATAACTACCCAATGGAGCTATACAGAGAGAATGAGAAAAAGAATAAAGAGAAAGTAGTGGATAGCATGATAGTGGGAATTCTTATTGTTTTCACGTTATGACTGATAACTGAAAAAATTGACAATATTAAAATTAAGTACTATTTTGTATAAATTATCATTTAAAATCATTTTAAAAGCTACAAGAGAATTCACTTAACATACAGTATGAAGAGTGAATATTAATTTCAAGATCTGCTAAAGATTACATTTAACACTGATATTAAATTATCAATGTTTTAAAAGATTCACTTTAAATGTAAAAATATGGGAAATGAGCATGCACAATTAAATATTGAATATTAACTGATAAATATACAATATCAACCTATACTGATAAATAAAAGAATATCATTTATGACACTTCACTCTAAAACAATTTATTCTAAAAAAAAAAAAAACAGCCTAGAAAATGTGCTTCATGTGGTAAGAGGATAAATGATTTTATTCAAGTCAACATTATTTAACGTCTCTGTGTCAATCTACATCTATTGAATTACACTGGAAAAGCTAGTGTTAGATCACCAGTGCTAGATCAGGTGGAAATATCTCCTTAAGGTGACATTTGCAGGTTAACACTTTTTACAGTTGGCATTAACCCTTACATATGTTTTTTATTAACCTCTACGGTGCTTTTAAGTGTATGTTTATCTTTATGATTAATAAATATTAAGTATGTAATCTCTAATGTTTGTCAAATACCATAATATGGCTAACTGCTTAAACGAAGTAAAGAATTGTGAAAAAACAGATAACAGAAGGCCTTAATAACCATAAAAAACATAAACATAAAAATGAAAATGTGTTTCTGTGAACATTCTTTCTCACCAGCAGCAAGATACATTTGGTTTAGAGTGGACTATGCACTGTAAACCTGTCAACAGAGACTTTTTTTTTTTTTTTTTTAAATCAAAGTTCTCCTAAAATAAATAGTTTTTATACAGTTTGAGCTGCCACCTCTAAGTCACAGAGTTTTTCTATAGAAAGAACATTGGGGGATTTTTTTTATTTTGGCATGGGTCTTACCACACAACATTGTGGTGCAGTCCATCAAAGAGTGTATCCATGCAGTTGCAGAATAATCTCTGGAAAAGTATGACTGGAATTCCACAAAAAATATAGAAACACACCTGCAACCAGCATGAGAAAGTGCAGATTTGAGAAAGCAATATGATAAAGGTCTTCTGGTGCATTTTATTCCTTTTAACATTTTTATCAACATCCAAAACTGAATGTCATGAACTAACCTAGTGACTGCACGTGTGCAAACGGTGGTGAGGAAACATCCAGCCACGATCATCCAGCCCCATCCGCCATCTGGAGCAGCCGCTGAATGTGTTTTTTTTTCACTCATCTCTAGACTTCTGCTGGACAAGATGCTTCCTCTCTTCATCCTCTCCCTCACTCTCTCACTTCTTTCAGACTCTCGTTTCCTCTTCGGTCCAGTTTCAGCTGGGTTTGCTCTCTCCGGCTCTGTTTGGAACATATTTACTTGCTGTTTTTCTCTCATTACTTCTGTTCCTTCTTGCTTTCATCTATAAGGAGCTTCTAAATGGCATCAAGCAAAATCTGCAGCAGAAACATAACATTTTTAAACTTTAGCCTTCTTCTCAAAATGTATGTGCAATCTAAATCAGTCTGTATGAAAAAAAAAATCTGTTGTTATTGTAAACTTGCTTCAAATGACACTGTGGTGCATTGGAATAAATACTAAAATGTATCACTTATGTCTCTGAGATAAATGGGATAGTTCAGCCAGAAAATTGTCACATGTAACATTCTTGTCATCATTTGCTCACCCTCAGGATTTACCACATAGTTAGTGAGTAAGAGCAAAGTAAAGAAATTTTAGCAAAATTGTTCCAGGCTAAGTCCTGTCACATATACACTCCATGCCGGCCCATATCCCAGTTGCATGAACTGCTTAGACTAGCCTTAAAAAGTTATTCAATTTGTTTTGTTACAAAAAAAGTCAGTTACAAAAAGTTAGACTGGCCCAATTTGAGTCAGAAAAGTAAGACTTATTACCTCTTGGCTAAATGCAGGTGGTCAAACTATTTCTTAAGGCACAGTCTTAACATAGTGGCTATGCAATTGGGCCCATGATACAGTGAACAAGTTACTACACACACACACACACACACACACACACACACACACACAAGTCTGATCCAAAGGGAGGCAAGGAACACAGTGTGTCTTCATCAATGCCAAGAGAGAGGGCCAAAAACTACTTCATGGGGCAAAAGTAGTTACTTTATTGCAAAAATGAGCAGATATGGAACAAAGTTTCATTCAGCCAACCAACTTTGTAGTGGGCTTGATTGGTATAGACTCACCACAGTCAGAACTGATGCGACGATTTTGAGTCTTCAAATTAAAGACTTAACAGGCCATTTCACTGAACATACATCTTATAAAACGTGACAAATGAGAAATGGTCATAAAAACATCTTACTAACTCAAACATATGAACAGAAGATGTTTTTAATATATTTTTTAAGTAATTAACAGTTTTATTCAGCATTAATTTGATCAGCAGTGACAGTAACGACATTACGATGTTACAAAAGACTTCCATTTCAAATAAAAGCACAAAAATAATAAGCAGCACAACTGTTTTCAACAGGGAGAATAAGAAGAAATGTTAATATATATCAATATGGAAAAGGAATGTAATATGCATGTCCTGTAAGTGATTACACTGTATAAACACAGAGACAAAAACCGGCAAGGAGAATTGAATAATTGAATAATCATTGAATAGTAACCAGGATAGTAACCTTGCAGAGTGAATGTAAAAATCATCTTTCTAGGTCAATGTAGGTACAAGCATTGTGTTCTGTCTTTAAGCCTCAATAAACAACTATGAATTAGCAGATGAAAAGAGTCATAACAGTTGTGTACAATCACTTGGGGAGTTTTTCTGAACAAAATACAAGACTGAACATTTGAAGAGGTCAAAGAGAACTTACGTACTCTAGAGCAGACGAGGAACAAAAACAACCACCGGTCCACCGCTCTCCTCCAAAGTGTGGTACAACACATTGGCGCACATGGCTCTGCATCACTGCGCGGCGTGTGCGCTTGAACAGATCAACAGGGCGGAAACCACAGCCAGCGAGCGCGAGGTGGAAGACTGGAAGTAGAGTGGACCTCTTGGTTGCTTTCAAGTCAGCGGTCTAAACTACCGTTAACTGCAGTCCTGGGTCTGATATGTGCCATGTTTTCCCTCTCACGGGGGGGGGGGGGGTCGACTGTTTAATGCAATTTCAATAGGACGTTTTCAGGACCCAATCTGTTGAGGTTCGTCTCAAACAAACCCAATTATCTTCAAACTCCCCTTAGTAGCCTACAGTTAGCATTCAACTTAAAAATCATTTTATATCTACACTAACGTTGCTTGAGACCTATAAACATATAATAAAGTTCTAAATAATAATAGTTTGTGCGATTATGATCCTAAGAAGTACCGTACTCCTCAGCGAAAGTAATTTATGGTGAAAATATATGCCCAGAACGTCTTGTAAACTAACTTTTGTTATTACTGAAGTACTGAAAATTCAAAACCCAAGTGAAACATTGATATGTAAAACGAGTTCCTACAGGGTTCAAGCTAAAGCTTTATTAAGGGGGCCAGACAGGAGAACAGCCATTTGCCCATGCATATTACCCTAGGGGGCAATGTGAGCCACTCATTTGCTTCTGAAAAGCATTTATAGGTTTTTAGGGGGTAGTGAGTGATTGGATTGTTCCTGACATTTAGTATCACAAACCTGTGCACTTCTTGTCCTCATAATTAAATGTAAACATTTAAAATGGGTGACGATAATTGAAGCGAACATTACAAGTGGCAATTTTCAATGGGTTCACTTCTAAGACCATAGATTAATAGTAAACAATTAATACAGGATAAAAAATAAAACATGTTTGATTTTCAACTTTATTATTCTTTTAAATGTCATTTCTTGAGTCTATGCATAATAGCATCCAATTAAACCCAGTGAATCACATAGACATCAATCTCTAATATTTTCTTAATAAAGCCACAAAGATCAATACAGAGCAGCTTCAATGACATCTGAGAGGTGAGAAACAAAGACAGGAATATTTACATGTTTGCACAATCGCACATAACGGCACAAAGTATCCATTAAAGTAGCATCAAACAAGCAACTCAAATGATAATTTGTTTAAAAATGTCAGTAGGAATCAAAAGAAAACACCCATACAGAAAAAGAACAATAACGTGTCAAAAGCCCCTTTTCACTCTTTATAACAGTGTTACTGACAAAAGTGGCAAACAGGACACGAGCAGCTAGTTTCTAAGAGCCACATGACTCTCTCAACCAAGCTGCTTTTAGCAAATACCATTCAGAGCAACTGACTTTACTGCATAGCAAAAGGAGTGAAAGGTCACCTTTCAGAGGAAGAGAACATATACATTACAATTACCTCTAAGGAGTTGTATTAGTACAACCTATTAGTCTATGATATAGGCTAATACAGCTTTTAAACTTTAAGGTCTGTGTGTTGTTTCTGTACTAAACAAAATTGCTGTAACTGGCAGCCGGTTTTGCTGCTTACTGGTATGACAACAAAAGTTACTTCAAACCTTACCAATGTTTGCAAAACATGAAGCTGTATTTTGTTAAGTCTAATGCACAATGGATAACAGCTTTGAGTATAGCATAGAATTGTGCAGTGCAATTACACAGGTTTGAACACTTGAAACATGCTCATACTTGCATCTTACTAAGATCGTGTGGCAAGAACAATTTGTCAGTACCATAAATGTTAATCATTCATAAAGCAGACAGCTTTCATACCGATACACTGTTTGGTATACAAATGAAAAGAGCATCCTAATCTAGAATGAGGGGTTTAACACCGGATAATTTACATTAAAAGAAAAAGTCCAGTAATGACAAAAATAACAATGATAACAAAATTAAAATCAAATCACACGACTGTCAAATGTTGTACCCAAAATATGATGTTAAATAATGTAATACAAAATATACAAGGCCAACCAAAGCCAAAATTAAATATTATAAAGGTATATAACATTTTTAACCTCACAATGTTTACAAAATAATAAAATAAAAACAAATTTTTTTCTGGAAAAAGAAAATAATATTGCAGTTGACATGAGGTCCCCAAAATCAAATTCAGATTTTTCTGTGAAGTTACCATGGGAATCTCAGTTAAAATAACAAAAAAGTTAATAAAAGTAAAATAAAAGCACAACCTAAAAACAGCCACAAAGGTTAACAGAAGAGAACAATCACATAGAAGGCAAGAAAGACAGCAAGGAGAACTGAACAACAGAGTTAACTAGTAAGGGAGTGGTGTTTTTTATTTTTAATGACATATGATATTGAACTTCATCTTAGAAATACTCTAATGCTAGGCAACTTTTAGGAGAAGTAATGTGGTACATGGCCTGGCAAAGCAGGAATGCTTGCACTGGCAGGCTGTCTGCCAAATGACTCCTCCCCAATCTCACTTTGGCACTACAATGGAAACACAATGGCTGAGTCTTAAAACGGTCTAAACATTTGAATACTGTGGAATGGGGGGTTGTGGGTAACTGCTGTCATACTGACTTTATGTTTTGTCATCACACGGCTACTTCAAGTACTCTTAGTACCATTACAGATAAGAGGAAAGCTACCAAAGAGGTGGTATATGCATATAACTGTGTGCATTCAGAAAAAGATGATTGAAGTAGCTTTGGTTTAGATAGGAAAAAGAATGGGAAAAGGCAAGGCGAAAAATTGAGTCGGCACACATTTAACACAGCACCTGAGGCTTAAAAATCAACTCCAACAGTGTGTTTGAACAGCAGTTTAACACAGAAAACTCTAAAAGGTCCATTATTTAACCAGGCCTAGAAACAGAAAGACACTCTCACCTGTTGGCAGGTCAAGGATAGCAAAACTTTAACACAGCAGGTTTTGGCCATCATATAAACTCTCCCTGTTCACTACACAATGATATTTAAAAACAGTATAAAAGGAAAACAACAACCGGAAAACAAATGAACAACAAGGTTCCGGTAGAGTTGGAAGTCTGAGGGAGACTAAGTTACTCATAAAAATATTGTTTAGAATCTTATTTCAAGGGTTATTTACAGGTTAGTTACTATAATGGCTTCTTTTAAATTTCCCAGTGTTCCCAGTATTCCAGTTTTCCTGTTGGAGCTTCTGTGTGGAAGTCTTAAAGCAGCTTCTGGATCATCAGAGATGATGATTTCCTTTATGCGTCATCAGACGACTTCAGCAGTTCTAGAAAAGCACCGACGGCTCCAAAGTATCCCTGAAACGCACATACACACATATAAGTGTGCATATAAACATACATGTTTTCATTAAACTACCGCTCTATAAAATAAGTGATTCTGATAATCTTCACTGTTAGACACTGCTTCAAAAGTTTGGGTCCAGTATTGTTTTTACTTTTATTCAGCAAGGACACATTAAATAGCTCAAAAGTGACAGTAAAGACTTTTACATTGTTAAAAAATATTTCTAGTTCAATTAAATGCAGTTAGTTTACTAGTTAACTTTCTATTCATCAGTTTACTAGTTAACTTTCTATTCATCAAAAAATCCACAAAAAATATTAAGCAGGACAACTGTTTTCAACATTAATAATGATGAGAAATATTTCTTGAGACCTAAATTGGCATATTAGAATGATACTGAAGACTGGAGTAATGGCTGCCGAAAATTCAGCTTTGCCATCACATAAATAAATTACACTGTAAAATACATTAAAACAGAAAACAGTTATTTTAAATTGTAATAGTAGTTCATAATATTACTGTTTTTACTGTATTTTTGATCAAATAAATGCAGCCTGGGTGTGCATTCGAGACTTTGAAAAACATTAACAAATGTTATCACATCTTTTGAAAGATAGTGTATTTCAAAATATTTGAGAAAATAAATGAAACAGATTAAAAATAAATTCTTAAAACACTGAGAGAATTACCTCATGTTCCAGGAAAAGGGCCCTCAGCTGGCCCTTGGACCAGAAGTCCATAGCATAGGCAAGAAGCTTTGTCGACACTGTGTTTATACGCAGAAAGTTCCCCACAAAAACAACCCGTTCGATCTTCTACAGGACAAAACAGAAACATCGCTCAGTATGACCAGGATAGAATGTTTGGATGTTTTTCCACACTCATTTTGGAAGAAAATCTACAGAATTCTGTGGAACAGATTTAAACACTTAATTACTTTAATTAGTTAAACTGAGTGCTGAGTACTGCATTCTTTCTGCAAGCCTATATTCCACGTGGGCCTGTTTATAAGTCTAAGGCCTGGTTTCACAGACAGGGCTTAAATTAAGCCAGGATTAAGTAATAGTTCAATTAGGACATTTAAGTATAATCATGCCTTAGAAAAAAACATTACTGGTGTGCATCTTGAGACTAATCAATGACACTTACATATTTTAAGATAGGTCAGTGCAAGTTTCTTTCAGTTAAAAAAACTCAGACATGCATTTTAGTCTGTGAAACCGGGGGTAAATTACCAGCAGGTTGACTCCTGCAGTACTTCTCCAGCACCAGCAGGGGGAGTCATGGCACAAGCAATTCCTTTTATAGACGTTTTATAGGAGGTGCTCAAATAGGTGTTTTTGGTCAAATTTAAAGCATTTGCCATCACCATCTTGTCATAGATACTACTCTAATGTCATAAAAAAAATCATGCATTCTCCGGGTAATGTTGGGAGTTTCTGCTCTGGTGGTATTCTGTATACACTGAAAGCCCTGTACAATGCTGCTTGATCACCAAGCTACAAGGCAACACTGTAGAGAAGCCCAGAGTGGCCAGTCAGACGCTCACAGCTGCTGTTGACGGCACGCAGATGCACACATAAAAACACAACACACCTCATTAACCGCACACATGCGTGCAATGGAGCCAATGTTGTTGGTGATAGTGACGAGTGTGGCTCGGGCCAAATCCTCTTTAGAAATACTGTCCCTCTTCTCTTTGCTCATCATGTGACCAAAGCTACAATAAAAACACAAGCACATATTTATGTACCTATCAGACCAGTTTATCTATTTAAAGAGACCAGTTTATCTACTTGTTGCATAATAACATAGTGCTGGATATTGAAACAGTCCCATGGCACTCCTTTAATTTACAGTGCAATTTCTATAGACTATGCATCTAAATCAGTGTAGATTGTGTAGTTATGATAAATGCAATAAAACAAAATTAACCAGTAAAATAAAAATAGACTAAAATATATAAATAATACATACATACAATCATTTATAAGATTATAAATGTCTTTACTGCCATCCTTAAATCAACTGAATGCATCTGTGCTGAATAAAAGCAGGGCCCCATAAAAAAAAAAAATAAATAAATTAAAATGTGTTTTTTTAAATATATATATATATATATATATATATTTTAACACTTTAACATTTCGGTCATACTGTCATGTGTTTATGTCTCATCTTTTCTTGTTTTATCAGCATTTTAATCCATCTTGTAGATGTCCTGGGAACTAAGGTTCACTTAAAGTGGGAACTAAACGTCTTTTCCAACTTGAGAACTATATACAGTCACAAAGAATTTATTACACCGAATCTGTGCCAATTATCAAAGACCATAATTACATCAGCATCACTTGGCCATTGAGTTTAGTTTGGGCTCCTCCTCAATGCATCCTATAAATGTTGTCATAGGTCTTGCACACATCCAGTCTGTTTTTCTTCATTAGTAACATTTATATTATATATATTCCTCAGATTCCAGATTTTCAAATAGTTGTATCTCGGCCAAATATTCAATAATTCAAAAAAATTGACCTTATGACTGGTTTTGTGGTCCAGGGTCACATATTATATAGGAGGTGTTGAATTTTATCTTTAGCTACTTGCATTCTTTCTTATTATGTAGACAACAGGTTAAGTAAAAATATGAATATGCAATATAGTGGATATATTTAGCAAAATACTCTTCTTTATAGTTATTTTTTGTCTAGCTGACTAATGAGTTTATTGATGCCGAATGGTTATTCTGAGGTAAACGATTGTTACGTTACGTGGCATTGTTTACAAGCTTTACACATTTTCCGCAGTTTGAAACACTGAATCAGCGATTGCATGAGACATTTCAGTAATTGTACTGTAACTTGTAATATACCTTTTGATGTCCATTCATGTTTATTTCGTACTATAGTAGTAAAGGGAAAGATATGATGGGTTCACATGCTGCTTGAACTGAGGCATTAAAGAGCGCCAAAACGGTATTTATTGTTTGAATTTCATTATGAATTTTAAAGCTGATACTTCGTTTATTAAAAGGTAACACAGCACAAAGTTTATTGCGATTGTTGGATGGCAAGTGTGCTACAAATAATAATTCACGCCTTAACAACTCAGCATATAGATTAAAGATCCTGATAACAACAAGCCATACCAGTATCGATTATAAACGAGAATTGTTAACGATATTGTTAATGTCCACACAGCTGACAGCTTTACCTGTTGTAGTTTGTTCAAGTTGTGCACGAAATAGACACTACTTTTCTTCACTTGTACTTCGCACGTCTCTGTCATTTTCGATCACTCTCATGATGCACAACTGGAGCTGCTTTTAGTTGCTGTTTGGCAGAGATGAGGACTGTTTTTCCAATAAAACTTTGATGCGCATCGTCTCAGTTTATTACGTCAACATAACAAAAGATGTGATCGCAAAACAAGCAGGAAAAAAGGCATTGCTTGCAAATGTTATTTATATAAAAAATGTATATAGTCGCCAGTGGCGATCTCAGCAAAAATATCCCCGTTTTAGGCGCAGTCTGGAGCCCTGAAAAGTATTAATGTGGTGTAGGCCTATAATGTTCAAAAGTTGTAAAAGTAATGTCAATGTTGAAAGTAACACTATCATAAAATATTAATTTTTTTCAAAAAAAAAAAAAAAAAAAGACTGATAGCAAACTTTTAAACAGTAGCATCTATTAAAATAGCCATGAAAAGGAAGTAGGATCTTGTGCATTTGTGACACATGAAACAGACAAGCCTACACACAATCCCCATAAATACAGCTCAGTAGTGTCACATTTCATTTGTGATCTTTGTCACCTGATACCATGGACACAAACAGTGTCTTTTGTACCTTGAAGCCACCGCAGACCCTTGTAGGCCGAAGCGCTGATAGTCTCCTCCATAGATGTCCTTCACCAGTTTGTCCACATTGGTGCTGTCCCCTTTGCTGGCCATTTCAAGGGCCTCTTCAAACGTCTCACAACCCGTCAACAGGCAGCAAAGCCCCAAAAACGTCCCTCCACCAAGACTAAAGAGAGAAAAAAAATAAGAAGAAAACATTTGGAGTCAAAACATGGTTACAGGCCACATCTGAAGTGCACATGTGCATTCATAAACGCATACAGTTTGACCTTGTGACCACTATTTAAACTATGTGCCTATGGCAAAAACAGGTCAAAAACAGACTAGCTTACAAAAGGAGACAAGTAACAAGTTTTGTGGACACTGCAACACAAAGCAAGGTCTACGTCACACATTATAGTTATTCCAAACTTTTGGTAAAGTGTGTAATATTATAAGATTTTATGTTTTTGAAAGAAGTCTCTTATTCTCATCAATGCTGTGTTTATTTGATTAAAAATACAGTGAAAATAGTAATAATGATTACAATTTAAAATGTAATTTATTCCTATCATGGCAAAGCAGAATTTTCAGCAGCCATTACTCTAGTCTTGATCCTTCAGAAATCATTAAAAGTTATTTTAAATTGTAAAAATAACACTATTGCTGATTTTACATTATTTTAATCGAACAAACACAGCTTTGGTGAGCGTAAAAGACTTCTTCCAAAAACATAGTAGTGTAAATTAATGTGGTAAATGTATAGAAATGACTAAACCGAACAGGATCAAATTGACAGGGAAACACACACAGATGTTTATAAAATGTGAGTAGTAGTTCCTGATCCTCCTGTGATTTGCACATCAGCTTTGACTACTCCTGACAAATCTCCTCCCTTCTGTCAATCATGGCTGAAAGGCTGTTCCATTCTGCTACAACCACATTTAAAATGCTCATCCATCGACTGACAGTCAGTAAACTTCACAACCTACTCTGTTGTCAATCACAGATTTGTTATCATCTGGAGATGACTCAGGCTCATGTTTCAAAGGAAAAAAAATGAACACAGCAGGAGGTGATTTTGTGTTCTTTTGCTTCTAACAGGCTTTTGATTCTGTGTCCATGAAAGACGAGAAAACAATCAAGTTCATGAAGTTAGCAAATGGTAAACTCATATTTCATACCGGAGAGATAACTTTTAAGATAAAAGCTCCATGGCATGGATGGATCTCGACGAAAGTTGCTCATAGAAAACACAGAAGCAAATTGCTTTTTCAGCCATTATCGACATTGAAACAAATGGACAAAACCACAAAATCCTAATTTTATCACATAGTTACTGTGAGTGTAGTGCACTTGAATTGGCTTTAGAATCTGCCAAACCAATGAAAATGTTAATAAACTAGTTTAGATGGGCATGGACTAAGTCTGGCCATGTTACTGACAACTCCTATTTGTAGGTTTCTTCTATATGGTGCATGTTGCTCAGCTGTGCTGACCTGGTGCCTGTCACTCGTTTGTAGTTGTCCTTGGTGTACACTGCCAGAATGCTGACGCCCGAGCCAATGTTGACCAGCAACATGGGAAAAAGGTTGTCAAGACAACAGGGTCTCTTGATGCAGTTCTGTGTGTCGGAGGGGTTCTCAAAGTAATAGCACTCAGGATGACCGTTAAAACCGACCGAGTCTATGTACAGCAGCCCCTGGATCAGACAGTCCAGCTCATCCAACTTCAGCAGCTCTAGGTCTGCCATCTACAAAGAAAAAAAGAAGGATTCATGACTACTCATTGCTCTGAACGTACAAGTTTCATCCCTTAAACATATTTCCTGATGACTTTTTTATTAAAAGAAAAAATATGATGCTTCGACTTTACATTTAACAGTTAGGACTTTATCAAACAGAGACCTCAATGTTTTTTATAGGTCAGTTTAGGTGAGTTTTAAATTAAACATCCCTAAAACAAGATATATAATACATTACTAAAGTTAAAAAGTTTGGTGTCAGTATGATTCAGCAAAGATGCAGTAAATTAGTCAAAAGTGGCATTAAAGACTTTTACACTGTTACAAAACATTTACATTTCAAATAAATGCTGTTCTTTTGACCTTTAGAAAATGAGTATCACAGCTTCCACAAAAATATTACTGTTTTCAGTAATATTAAGCATTAAATCAGAATGATTTCTGAAGGGTCATGTGACACTGAAGACCGGAGTAATGGCTGCTGAAAATTCAGCTTTGCCATCCCATTTAATAAATTAAAGTATATTACAAATATTTTCTAAAATATATTTTTTAAATGTAATAGTATTTCACATTATTTATTTATTTTTTGACTGTATTTACTGTATTTTTTTCAACACCGTGAAATCTCATTGGTCCACATAATACTCCACATAGCTGTATGTTAAACATTTGATTTTACTGTCAAACCAGTTTGAAAACCATGCTGTGGTCCATCTTCTTACCGTTCTGAAGTCGTTCTCAAACTTGTATGCCCCGCCACCAGTGGCGCACAGTGTGGTATGCAGGCTGGAGAAGTGCTTATCTCTGCCCATCTGGATGAAACTGTGCATGGCAGCGGTGGGGAAGCGGATGAAGTGAAGGTTCCCTGTACGACCGCAGATTGTCAGGTTGCGTAGCTCCAGGTGTACATCACGGACGCCGGCTTTGCCATAGGCCGTGTTGGAGGTGAGGTACCTGCGTATGCTCTTCAGATTCTCCACCTCTTCCAGCTCCTCTTCTGCAGTGATGTCTTTTGGCTCGAAGTAAACAAGCTTTACTAAAGTACCACCGATATCCATCCCAAACCATGGAAAAGCTAGAAAGAGATAAAGAGACTGATCAACATGATTGTATAAGTTGTGTTCCAAAGATAAACTAATGAACTGGACTGGCAAATAAAAACTACTAAAAACCCTCAAGTACACAACAAAATAAGGAAAAGGTGAGTTAAAACATTTTAAGAACAACAACTTGACCATATGTTTGTAGTGTGTACAATACAGTTCAAAAGATTTTTCTCTTTTTAAAGGAATTAATATTTTTATTCAGCAAGGATGCATCAGATTGATCAAAAGTGACAGTCAAGACTTTTATATTCTTTTATGTTGTTGTATAAAATATTTATATTTTTAAAAAATGCTGTTCTTTCGTACTTTCTATTCACCAGAGTCCTGAAAAAAGGAACCATGGATTCCACAACACTGATAATTAAAAGAAATGTTTCTTAAGCACCAAATCAGCATATTATAATGATTTCTGAAAGATCATGTGGCACTCAAGACTGGAGTAATGGCTGCTGAAAATTCAGCCTTGCCATCACAGGAATGAACTACATTTCAAAATATATTAAAATAGAAAACACTTATTTTAAAATTGTAGTAATATTTCACAATCTTAATATTTTTCTTTGTATTTTTGATCAAATAAATTCAGCCTTTGGTGAGCATAAGAGACTACTTTCAAAGCAGCTAAACAAACAAACAAAAAAAATCTTGCCAACCCCTAACTTTTACAAGCAAGCAAGCAAATTCAAACATTGCAAGCAGGCCAGACAAAGAGAGGCAGTCACTGCAGCAGCTAATGAAGAGTTGGACAGTTACCATGGCAACAGCCATGAGGCTGCAAATGGCTGTTCTAGGATGCTTAGCAGGTGAGAAGCACACACTAAGACAGCAGAACCAGTATAAATGTTCAAACTGATGCAAAGGTCGGTTTCTATAATTAAATACATATCAGTACACAGAAATGTCCAATTTGACCTAAATTACAGATCAGTGTCTAACAAGCTTATCAAGTAATAGGTAAATCATTACTGATATGACTCTTACATCTGACATTCACTGGACTGACACCAGAGAAATCTGGAAGAATTAGGGCAGGTCAGGGACACAGATCTGAACTTGAATAGCCTGGAACACGCAGATCTATCCGTGACTGATCAATCAGATTTATGACTGACCTGCCAGGTATAAAAACACTGTCAGTGTCAGCTGGTGCTGCACAGGTGACCTGCCTGTAACCAGAACACTCTTTACTACAACATCATCTCAAATGACCCTCACACTTCTTTCCCCCACTAATATAGATCTTGGCGTATGCTGGGAGAGTTATTTTGGACATCACTCTTATTTCAGAGAATGCAATCAAGTGGACGAGAGGCCATCTAAATGAATATGCACGTGCTCTGCTTCCATAGTTTTAAAAAAACTCAGGGGAAATGCATACTATTTGAAGTGAAAAATGCATGTTAGAATGTTACTTCTTCATTGACCTGAATGACCTGAGCCAGAAGCAGCAAATGAACAGTGGGTATGACAGTGGTGTGACATAATGACATCAAACAGCCCATGTGGGTGAAAGGTCTGTTCACTTCCCCCAGTCAGCCAGGCATGGAGAGGGAGGGAGAGAGAGAGAGAAAATTGGCAGGCAAGTGTGTCCATGTGAGGGGCTGGGAAAGGCGAAGAAGTGGCGAGAGAGAATGTGACCGGGAGAAGGAGAGGGGCTGACAGAGAGAAACTGGCAGGCAAGTGAGTGTCCATATGAAAGAGAAGGAGGCTGTGCAAAAGAGTGAGAATGAACCCATTACTTACCCATTAGACAAAGGTTGGCAACTGCCTTGGGCCCCCAAAAGCCAAGGGCCCCCTAAAATGCTTTTCATATACGAGATGCGCATTAAGCACGGACACGTGAATGGTTGCTGTTTAAGGTGTTTATTACCAAAGTCCCTTTAAGGCAAGTAATTTCACTCGGTGGCCATCTTTGAAATGCCTCTCGGGCATGCAAGGGCAGCTCCTATCTCTTTGAATGGGGAAACATCAAATTCTCCAAAACTGTTTGCCAAGCTTACGATTAAATTTCATCACCAATGAAATCTGACAACAACTGTTGTTTCTTTTGCTCAAATAGTGTTAAAAAAGCTTATTTGTCAGGCTAGACCATCCAGTGCACATGCGCAGTCCTAAGCACACGTCTCAGAACGCTGACTGTTTCTATAGCAACCAGGACTTCTAATGGCAGCTGCAGTGACTCGCTGACTTCATCATTTAGCGATTGGCTCTTTTACTCAGAAGGCGGGCTTCCTTCGATAGAGTGGCCATATTGAGCGTGGCATTTTTCCCCGACAACCGTCTGCGTTGAACGTGTTTCTTGTGTATCCTGCTTGTAGCAAATGAAAATATCATGCATCTGAACCTGTAATTAAATATTGCCCAACAGTGTGTATTATATGTTTATTGTTTTAAATGCCGCTTCATTTATGAGAAGGACCCAAGTAGAGGACGCATACGCAGTTACTTATTTGGTTGATATAATCCTTAGGTGTGTAAGCGCATAGTTTCCTTTTCATAATTTTTTTCAGTTTAATTTAAATTTGTAGTTAAAATAACCAAAAATAAAAAAATAAATAAAGTATTTTAAAGTTTACAATTAGACAGTCTTTGGAGAGTGTAGACAACTGGTCTGAGCCCAGGCACATAGGCTTGCACTCATCAGTGGACTTTCCTCATCAATATAGGTTATATTTTTTAACACTTTTCTCATTCTCATTGTGCAACAGTGCATATTATATGTTTATTGTTTTAAATGCCGCTTACTCATTTATGAGAAGGACCCAAGTAGAGGACGCATACGCAGTTACTTATTTGGTTGATATAATCCTTAGGTGTGTAAGCGCATAGTTTCCTTTTCATAATTTTTTTCAGTTTAATTTAAATTTGTAGTTAAAATAACCAAAAATAAAAAAATAAATAAAGTATTTTAAAGTTTACAATTAGACAGTCTTTGGAGAGTGTAGACAACTGGTCTGAGCCCAGGCACATAGGCTTGCACTCATCAGTGGACTTTCCTCATCAATATAGGTTATATTTTTTAACACTTTTCTCATTCTCATTAATTCAAGTTTTTATATGAATGAATCTCTGAAGGGAACCTACTGTCTTCAGAAAAGTTTCGATGGCATTTTCATTTGATCTGATAAAGGAGTGTTAATGAGCGATAAATAATACTATGATTGTTTAATACATCTGTATATGTTGGAATTAACATTAGCTAATGTTTACCATTACCTTTTGTAAACTACTGCAGTTAACCATTACACAATACAACATTCAAGTTTACAGTATAAATTTCTATAACGTGTTATTCACTGCATTTTTCTGCTGACAAGATAGCAAACAACTAATGTGACCTCATACTTAATTATAACCCACATATAACACTTAGCAATAAAACAGAAATAAAAAAGTATGTGTACAAAATCGCATACTTCCCTATTATATAGTAGGCGAAAAACAGTATGTGAGGCGAGTAGTATGTCCGAAAAAATAGTAAGCGAAAAGTACCCGGATGACCTACTTCTTCCGCCCGGATTCTGAAGTGCACATTCGATGGACACTTTACCATCCCATGAGGCCAAGGGACAGGATTTATGAATGGCAGTCAAGCGATGCAACTGACGCTGGTAGGTCATGTGACTAACAACAAGGCAGATGTAGTAGGTCCAAATTTCATTCATACTACCCATATTCATACATAGAACATACTTTTTTAACGAAGTAAATTCAAATTCAAATATAGTACCTTCTCAGATAGTAAGCAATTTCGGATGCACCATTGGCCTTTTTTCACTAGACACGAACCAAAACGCAATGATGAAACTACAATGCTAGCTTAAATTATGCTGCATCATTCTTTAAGAGTTAACGTAAAGAAATACAAATAATCAAATGAAAAAAATGACATTTACTTACCCGAATCGAAATGTGTTCTGTATATCCTAGTTGCTAGTTGTTATCCAGCCTTCTCGATTCACTGCTGCAATCCAGGCACGTTTCTTGGAAATCTCAACACTTAAATTTCCGAATTTTAGTTCCGGGCCAGAGGGAGCACCCAACCACCGAGCAACAAGTATCTAATTTTAATTTTGACATTTTAAACAACAAGTTTAAATAAATAATCACAATCCCACTGCACTCGACCACTAACGGGAAACGTTCAAGGAACAAAGACGTCACTTCCTTAAACCGACAAATAGCCGTTGAAATCATAGATATGTATAGGTAGATGCCACATTTGACCACTCCAAGCATGAAGACGTGCCCGCCATCTTGGAACAGTGTATGTGTTGTCACTAATATATACACTAACATAACTATACACTAATATAATATACACACATATAATATACACTAATATATTCAGGTGCAAACAAAAAAGCCCAAACAGCAGGGGAGCCCACAGGCAAAACGCAATTAATAGTTTAGTTTGGTTTGTAATGGCATTATAACTACACTTTCAAAGTTGAATTCTTAGCGTCACTTTGAAAAAGTGAATAAAAACGGAGAATTCTGCATAGTGTAGGGTGGAGGCGTTTCTGTCAAGCCCTTTAAAGCGGCCACGCGAAGACAAAAGTCAAGAGCTGATTGGTCGAAATGCGTCGAGCCTTTCCATCAGGAGTGTTTTCCTCAAAATGTCAGGCTCAAAGAAAAACATCAGGAGTGTTTTCTTTCAAAAACATAAAATCTTAGTTATTCCAAACTTCTGGTAAAGTATGTGTAATATTATATAATGTGTGACGTAGACCTTGCTTTGTGTTGCAGTGACCACAACACTTGTCTACTTGTTAGACAATTGTTACTTGTTAATTGTTACTTGATGGCATTGTTACTTGTTAGCTAGTCTGTTTTTGACCTGTTTTTGCCATTGGCACATAGTTTAAATAGGTCAAATTGTATGCGTTTATGAATGCACATGTGCACTTCAGATGTGGCCTGTAACCATGTTTTGACTCTAATTGTTTCTTTCTAATTTTTTCTCTCTCTTTAGTCTTGGTGAAGGGACGTTTTTGGGGCTTTGTTGCCTGTTGACGGGTTGTGAGACATTTGAAGAGGCCCTTGAAATGGCCAGCAAAGGGGACAGCACCAATGTGGACAAACTGCTGAAGGACATCTATGGAGGAGACTACCAGCGCTTCGGCCTACAAGGGTCTGCGGTGGCTTCAAGGTACAAAAGACAATTTTTGAAACTTTGCATTGCCAGCACTTCTTGTGTTATTGCCTCCTTATAATAAATTGCTTGTTGTATTCATCATTTGTCGCTTTGGATAAAGACATCTTCTAAATGAATAAATGTAAAATATCAGCTCATAGAAGTCTTTACCAACTGAGAAAAAAATATCGAAATAAAATCTATGGTTAATACTAGAGCCCGACCGATATATCGTTTTGCCGATATTATTGGCCGATATGAGCCTGTCGCCGATATATCGGTATCGGTGAATATGCCGCCGACATGAAAATTTTTTTACAGAACATATAACGCAGATAAAATGCTTGAAATGGTGTAATTACTTAGTTTGTCCAGCAGAGCGTGCTCCATTGTTTGCTACTAACGACCTGGATGAAATGCTTTAAAGCTTAAGTCTATGGAAAACCATTGAAACTTTGAACGGCCATATCTCCGTAACTGCGCGGCGAATCAGCACCAAATTCGGGGGAATTCGAACGCTCTCTCGAACGCGAATCAAGTGTACGTCTCTCTAGAGGTCCGCTTTAGAATGAGACCACCCCCGGTCGATAGCTCCCGGGGTTTGGGAGTTACGGGTGGTTAAATTCGTGGTCCGGCGCCGACCGATCAAGCGATCCCGGGGGGCTACCGACGCGCGGAAGGTGGAGTTCGAGAGGGCTCCTCGAGCTGAAGGGATCCCCCGGCGCGTTCGCGAGATAGTGACACCAGTCAACACTTTCACTTCAGTAAGGAGGTCTCTTGTTCAGACAGCAGCATTCAAGTGTTGTCTTATTTGATGGCGCTTATGGTACAGTAATACAGCGTTTCCTTGGTTACCGCTGTAAACACAGCAGGGCTGCGTGTATTAACACTAATTTAAATGCATCATACAGAGACAAAATGAAAAGGAAACGCCATTTCTGAAAACAGTCAGTTCCCCTCAGAAACACATTCATATAAAATTCAATATTTGGATTTTCTTCCTATATTTCGTGCATCGTGAACAGTGATCTTTTTCTGTCTGCTACAGTAGCTATTTTTTCCTCTTTGTGTCCGTCTTCAGCATCTCTGGCCTCTGTTAATGACCGTATACAGACTAATTATAATAGTAATATTTCCACACAAATGGCCATTGGGAAAATAATTGCAGTGCAGTTTGTGTGCAAGCACAGAACAGAAGAGTCTGAAATAAAACAAAAAATGTCCGGTCGATCGGTGCATCTGTACTCTAGTGTAAATTCAATATAGATTGATCATTGTTAAAGCTACTTGCCAGACGGGTATTTTGACATACTTTTGTATGTATTTGCCCGTTCAGGCGTGCGCGCGCTGTTCGCACAGAACACACAGTGCGCGAGTAGTGAATGGAGTTGTCTTTCGCACCCAAATGCCTTTTAATCGCTTGAATTTATAAATTAACAACGTTTAAAAAACATGCAAATGATCAAATTTCGTGACGACGCTGCAGTGGCCCGATCGGGCAACTGACAAATTAGTCTGTCCCGAACGTCTTTCACGCTGGGCCCGGGCCATCGGGCACTCCTTATTGTCGAGCCCTGGTTGAGTATATTTAAAAGAACAATAAACCAATAAAACAAACAATTGCTGCTAAGAAAGGTGTTACTACAACACACAAAAAACAAGGCTAAAGCTAAGGAATGTTGACAAGCTGGCCTGGCATGCAGTCTGACAACTAAAGACTCGCTGAACTGTATGAATGCTGTATTAAGCGTTCAATTTTCTGCTGCCATTACCTTTGGCAACACAAACTAAACCTGACACGAAGTCACTTTATTTTACAACACACTTGCACTTTAGTAAATACCAAAAAAAAAAAAATCAATTTACAGTGTCACCAAAGTAGCTGCAATGAAAAATCAAACAAACAAACAACAAAAAACTAAAACTATCAGAGCAATTCCAAGGAAGTAGGTTTTTTTTACAACATCACACATGGATGAGGTGATGTCTTACCTGGCTTCCTTGAACACCTCAACTTCATCCTGCTGGCAGTCCTAATATGTTCAAGTGCAAACAAAAACGCCCAAACAGCAGGGGAGCCCACAGGCAAAACGCAATTAATAGTTTAGTTTGGTTTGTAATGGCATTATAACTACACTTTCAAAGTTTAATTCTTAGCGTCGCTTTGAAAAAGTGAATAAAAACGGAGAATTCTGCATAGTGTAGGGTGGAGGCGTTTCTGTCAAGCCCTTTAAAGCGGCCACGCGAAGACAAAAGTCAAGAGCTGATTGGTCGAAACGCGTCGAGCCTTTCCATCAGGAGTGTTTTCAGCACACCTCCTGACTTCACAACGACCAATCAGAGAGCGAGAAAAACAATCTCAAAGGTTTCCTCAAAACAAAAAACACACTTCGGAAGACAGGTCAGAGACAGCATTGAGATAATGTCAGTTTGTACTAGGATTGGGAACTGAGAAGCATTTCTTTAAATGCCAGACCCGAATAATTTTCATGTACTGAACGTTCGAGAAGCGTTAAAATTGGAATGTCATCCTTTGCTGAAACGAACGGAGCGCCGCAATCTGACAGGGTTTCCTGCAATACTATTCATTGACACTGCTGCCGACTCTACAGTGAGAAACACTACAGCGAGACCGGTACAGTCCGATTTCCGAACCAAAGACTCTTATGAGTCGGTTCTTTTTAGTGAATCAAATACATACTGTGCGTCCAGTGTAGTTCGATTCCCGGACAAATGACTCTTATGAATCGGTTCTTTTTAGTGAAACAAAACAAAACAATACAATTATGAATCAGTCATGAGTTACTGATTTATCTGACTTAGTGGACCGCAGATTATTATAAACCAACTACTGTGTTATACTTAAAAAACTGTCAACATTTATAAAGCTACATATTCTCTGGAAATGTGTACGTTAATTACCTCACAATTTTGGCAACATGCTTTTGAGGGCAGTAAATTTAAATCAAATTTTCTATTATTTCTACTCAAAAGTACTAGATTAAAGAATCGATCAATTCCTTAAGATACTTTGGACTCTTGTTCAAAGATCAGTAATTAACGTTAACGTTACCTGAGGTAAAATTGTGAGGTCTGAAGTCGATAAGATATCTGTAAATACCTTACAAGAAATGAATTCACACATACATTCCATGCCAGTTACTGTCTTAAAAATGAAGACAACTAATATATTGTGTCATTACACTGGCAAAAATTCATGTGAATCCAAACAAATCGCCCAGTGTAAACCATTACTATCGCAATAATGTGTTAAACATCTTAGGGCATTAAGCTTATTAGACACTGTTGAAATCAAATGTACAAATATTATCTGATGAACTCTGAAGGTGTCTGTGACTATAAACTTACGCGGTCTGTTTTTCCTCGCCGATTCCATTCGCCTCCGCAGCCGGCACCTTTTCGCCGGGGACCCGTTGGTTTGAGGGTCGTGGTGAAGATGGTGGTAATCATCGTCCGTCGGACTGTACGGGCTACAGCTCCCGTTGCTCAGCTGTCGCCGGAGTGGCTTGTGCATGCCGTTTGTGCAGCAAGGACCCGATCCTTTCTGATCCATCACTGATTTGGCCTTGTCCATATTTCAATGCACAGCAAAGGGCTACAGCATAAGGTTGGAGGCGAGCCTCGAAACACACAGACGCTCTCGAGATAAGAAAAGGCTCGTGGCTAATGACCAACGCATGGATTTAATCTAAAAACAGATGATAAAATCGCGTGTTTACATGTGTCGAATACTAAACGACGAGTGTAAAACACTAACACGCGACGTGGTCGAGGTCATTGTCGGTCACATCTCCACTCATGTAGTCCTGGCGCTGCGGCAGCCACCCCGTCAAACACCCGGCTCGTGACGTCACCCAGAATGGCTCCACGAACCCGTTTTACAGCATCGCACTCACACAACCATCCTCTATCGCTAACAGAAGATCAAAGTACAAAATGATCGTTCAGATCGTTCCTCACAAGTCAGTTGAAACAATGTCTTTAAATATCTCCCTTTTGTCTGTGCGGTATGTGGGTGAACGGCATGTTCGCCTGCGTCACTCTTGTGTGTTGATGACACACTATCTATTTATATATATATTAACCGAAATAACAATGATGGAAGAAATGCAGGCTCATTTTATCGGTCATTTGAAATAGTTTTAAATCTCTCTGATGTATCTTCATGCTGAAATAAATCAAATACAGACATTTCCAGCTGACAAACCTACACACCTTATGCAAACTATCGCAGTTTTCAAATAGTAGAAAAAGTACTCCCCACCTTTTCACTTATAGCCTAATAACAATTCTTACAATTCTATTCTTTATTTTCAATCATGTTTTGTTTTGAAGCAATCGTAAATATTTGAGAATTTGATTTAGGTTTGATAATTAACCATAAGACAACAAAGTATGTATTAGTTCTTTTTTGTTTACATGAATGTCATTAATAACATTTTTTTTTAATTAAGATGAAAATTTTGCTTTCTTTTGTGATTGCACTCGATTGGCTTGGCCACCTAATGGTGAAGAAGAGTAACTGACAGTTAACTGAGTGGCAGAGACGAGCAAGTACCACATTAATCAGAGCCAAAAGAAGTAAATTACCATCACCAGTAAGTCTCCAATCACTACCGTTAACTAACTTTGGTCATTCCAGTTAGCTTCAGAACGGCATATTTGACAAATACTAAAGAGTGTTGAGGAATAATTGCATCATCAAATGTCAGTTCACTCACTGTGTACATTTCTGGAAAGTATTGTGGGCGGTACTTTTCAGGATAGGTGCTAAAATAGCTGCAGGACTGAGAGGGGCCAAATCATTCAGGAAACTGCAGCGAATGTGACATCAGTGACCTCAACTGCTTGGAAAGACAGGAGAGAACTGGACATCTCTGCCATAATGTAATGATTCTAAATGACAACTGAAAAAGTTGTTTTTAATCTATGAAACAAATACAAAAAGCAAAGCTTTATTGGGTCCAATCAAAAGGGCAAATGACAATTGAAAAGTTGTTAAAAAGAAATAAAATTCAAGGCTTTCTTGGATTCAATCAAAAAAAATAAGTTAGATTTTTTTTTCAACATTTTACCCATGCATATAGATTTTAAGATAGTACTAAAATGATTTTACTATTATAGCATGAACACAAAAATCCAAGTATGACGTCTTTCATACTGAATTTTGTGATAAGCTCTTGGTATCTGATGTGGTAGTTCTTTGTTTTGTGCACAGCAGATAGCCTGTACCATTCTTACAGTCAAAATGAAAAAGAAACAAGGACAGTTACATCAGCAAGTCTTCCTGGAATGTTTGTGTATGTTTCAAAGATTTTCAATAAACCAACAATCATTTTTAAATCCAATGTTTCCTTAAAATGCAAACATTCATTTTTTGTGCAAGACTTACATTGCTTGATGATTTGTTTCAGCATTGTTTTCCTTTGTCACATTTTTTCTCTCATCCACCTTATTTTAAAATGGGGGTACACACAGAATACCATCATTTTTGACAAGACTGTTTACCAAGGTATTTCAGTACTGTCCCATGCATAGGCTTTACCTGTTTTGTCTATATTTAGAGTATCTATAATGTTCATAAGGCATTGGACTGAGTACTCTGTGCTGAACAGCTTGTCCTTGGGTACGTTTCGATGGTAGGGCCGAGACAAATCTGTATTCACGGTTCCAGGATGCAGGGATACACACACAATTTTAGAGCGCCCTCGACCCAGCTCAATGGACAGGTTTCTGGTGGCCATGTTTAAGGCAGCTTTAGACATCCTATAGCTGTACCATCCTCCAAAAGCTGAAGACAGAAATATAAACCAACAGAGATGTAAGCATTGGGTTGTTGAAACAGAAACAGTCCAAATGTGGCTACAAACAACTCTAGATGCACATAGCTATAATCGTATATTAGTAGGTGTTAATTATTTGGGCCCTGCTCAGAAAAGTAACATCATATTTAAGCTGATTTATTCTGAGAAACAGACTTGAATGGTGATAGAAAATATTGTGAAATATGTGTGCATGAGTTTCTTTGCATGAGTATGCAGAAAATTATAAGATAAAAGTTACATTTGTTTCAGTATTGTCATATTTGTGGGTTCTGAACAGCTGATTAGTATGCTCTCAAAAAGATTGTGTCAATAACAAATTTTAACACACTAAAGATTGTTATTAACATATTTCAACACACTGTCATTTTCGTTGTGTTAAAACAAAAATTAAAAAGAAAAAAAAAACTGCAACACTGTGTTGAACACAATAGTCTATAGCTGCGTCCCAAATGCTGCACTATACACTATGCACTTATACAATATGTACTCATGCACTAAGTACTCAATTATGTAGTGTATGACTTACTGTATATAAGGTTATTTTTTATCATTCATAATCTGACTCTGATAGCCCCTCCCCCTTTGCTACATAATTAAAGCTGCAACAGTTGAGCGCGTGCAGTGTCCAACATTCCACACTTCGTTTTTTCAGTTAAGTGCATCATCCAAGTATTTAAAATGCACTTTTTCTTTTTGGAATTTTCAGTGTGAATGCACTACTCGCAATTTATACTACAAAGCGTCATAGAATAGTGCATAAGTACGCAATTTGGGACACATCTTATGTTTTAACAAAGACTATAGAAGACCCAAGATGTGTACAAAAACGCAACACTTAATATGGCCGCTCTATCGAAGGAAGCCCTGCCTTCTGAGTAAAAAAGCCAATCGCTAAACTACTTGGTGAAAAGATAGAAATTGTTATTGAGTTTAATTATCTTGGTTTAACGCTAGATTCAAATCTTAGTTTTTAAAAAACATGTAAAGAAATTGGTGAGGACTATAAAATATAACTTGATCAATTTTAGACAAATTAGACAATGTCTACCCACTGATGTAGCCAAGACTTTTATGCATGCTACAATCTTTTCTCATCTGACATACTGTCTGACATGTTGGGGTCAAGCAGGGGAAACTGTTATTAAACCTTTAAAATCTCTTTATAAACAGACCTTAAAAACTCTAGACAAAAAGCCTAACCAATATCACCACTGTAGGGTTTTGGAGAAATAACATTTTTTGAGCTTTGATAATTTTAGACTTTTCTCAAATTTGTGTATGGTATATAAAATTTTAAATGGTTTGGCCCCTTCTATACTTCGTGATTTTATGCATTTTCGCTCTACAGTCGCTGTAAGATCTACTAGATCATCATCTACTAGTGATTGTGTTGTTCCTTTTCGTCATTCTGCCTTTGGGTTATCATCTTTCTCAGTGAAAGCTATTATTCACTGGAACACTCTACCAGAAGACATAAGGATGTGCACATCTATTGACATGTTTAAATTAAAACTAAAATTGTATTTAAAAGCAACTCAAATCTGTAAACTCTGATCTAGTTGTGGCTTAACTGAACGTTATTTTTATTGTTCGTTTTTTTTGGCTCTGATGGGATGTGTATAAGTATTACTGTATTGTATGTGTTTGTTATTTTGTTCTTATGTCTATCTGTGATTATGATTACCTGCCAAGGGACCGCGGATGAAAACTAGCCATTGGCTAAATTCGGTACAATGCATGAAATGGAAACATTTATGTTAAAATTGTGCATGGTCCCTTTTCAAATAAATTTTAATAATAATAATAATAAACGATAAAGTCATCGCGTCACTGCAGCTGCCGTTAGAAGTCCTGGTTGCTATAGAAACAGTCAGCGTTCTGAGACGTGT